CCTTGAGAAATAGTTTGGCTCAGCCCAACAGTGACACCCCAGAGGTGGTGACAGGGAAAGTGTCCCTAAACCAATATCCTGTGCTACAGATTTCATCTCATGCCAGTCTTCCCTGAGGGAGATGCTCTTCATCCTCACACAGAGGGACTCACCAGCTGTGGGCTGTTCCTCAGACTCTTTGGGAGCTCATCATGAGGCAGCCAGAGCACTCCCTGCATTTCCACTCTCCTCAGGGAGCATAGATCCTTCCTGCAGCCAGGCCAGACTGTTTCAACGATGCAGAGATGACAACACACCCAGATACTGCCATGGTTGTCTCTGCTCACAGTCACTTCTTGCTTTGCTTCACAGAATTAGTCTTCCTTTCCAAGAAGCTGGTCACCAAGTCATCTTAGCACAGTGCTGAGGCCCAGCAGTATCACTAGGTGAAAGACTTCACCATGCTTACCATATGGTCAACTCCACATGCAACATCCACCACCTCACCGGGTACGGTCACCTGGATCAGATACACAAGAGTGGATTATTTCCCAGGCACCTGGTATTTCCTGTTTCTCTGCACTGGTATTTCCTTGTAACTTTGCACCTGGTATTTCCTATCTCTTGTCCTGTTCCTGCTTGACATGCCCATTGGTTTCAAAGGGACTTGTACCTATGAAAGTACCACCTTGAAAACCCAGATGCAGCACCAGACATGCTTGTGCATTGAGGTGTGAAATGTTCCCTTTCTCCCTTCACCGGAGCATGTAAACCTTTGGAAGGACAGAAAGAGAGGTCTCGCTAGCAGACAGTGAGGAGACTGTAGCCTCAGCCCATCTGTTCAGCAGCAGAAACAGCATGACCAAGCAGAGAGGAATCCAGAGAGCAGGAAGAGGATCTGCCCAAGCACCACAAGGATTTGCTTCTTCTCTCATCAGCAAGGACTGGAGCGAGGTGAAAGCTCAGCTCAGCCCAAGGCAGCTTTTGCTTTGATACTAAGCAGCCCCCACGCGCTCACTAGTGTCGTTACAGCTCTTCCACTTAAGATTGGCTTCAAAATCAAGCAAAGCAGAGGTTCCAAAGGCAAGTTTTTCCTCAGAGCTGAGGGAGATGGTTAGTTCTAGGGCAGGAGGTTACAGACATTACCCTGGTGACTGCCCTTGTTTTGGTACCTTGCCCTAGTACTGTCAGACAGGAGTTGGCTGCCTGAGGGAGCATAACCCTCTGTGTCTGCACCCGGACGTGCCACACTCTGAATTCAGAGACTCCACTCAGCCACAGCATTCTAATTTTAGGCAAACACTCCAGAGTTGGGGGGTTTTTTTGTTCATTTTTAAAAGAAAGGGAAAGCATGCTAAAGAAACACATCCACTGCAAGTTCAGACACACAGAAAGGGACTCCAGGGTGGTCCAACTGATTGCCTTCCTCCTCTTCTACTTGGCCTTCCTGGAGACTGGGAACATCTGTCAGGCTGAGTGCTGAACTCTGGAGCCAAAGACTCTTCTACACCAACAGAGTCTGGCTCTCAGAGCCATGGGAGAGAAGGGAGCGGAACTGGAAGCATTGCGAAACAGCTATGAAAACAGTTCAGTGGCTGAAGATCTACTGTAGCTCCACAGTGACCCACCACCAGAGCTGCTTGCCTTGGAAGAGGAGCAGGGGGAGGCAGCCCACTGCTATGTGGACCTGCTGCCACTATAGTCTGACCATCACAACCAAAATGTTCACCTCATTTAGATGTGTAATGCAACTCTTCTTGGTCACAGATGACCAATACCAGTGGTTCTCTTTGCAGCACATACCAGAGTGAAGTGTGGGTTAGAAGGGGAAGGAAGAGGCAGTCAGGGGTAGCAGGTAGAAGACTGTGGACAGGAGGAAGGTAAGAACCATTCAGAAGCGATGGCACAGAACCAGATTTTGCTTTGGGATCTGAAATCTCTACTGGAATAACATAACCAGAAGACTAAAAAAATACACTGAATACTTCACCCCTAAGCAGGCTAGGCAAGGATCTCCAGAAAACAAAGTAGTTCTAGTCATCTTAGGCTTCCACTTCTTTCAAGATTACTCATCAAAACTCTGCAGCTTAGGATGTTTCTTGCCCTCAGGCTAACAAAGACTAGCTAAAGAATATACTCTTGGCCTTAGTATTACCATCCTTACCCTCCATGGAAAATACTGGTCTTCCATTCGTCCAGTTCCCAGGCACCCTCTTAGATTCTTGCCCCATACAAACAGTTCTCCTCTGTCTACACAGGGAAAAAAGAATAAAAAAAATAGGGCAGAGTCATTAAAAGGCAGAATTCTATTTGTGATGCTGGCAAGTGGGGCTACAGTGCTTCTGAGAGCATAAAGGGCTATACATGCAGCATGAAAGCCATCGAGTTTAGTTCCAAGAGCAATAAATGTATTTGTGCTTTGGGAAAATGATGCCTAATGAGCAGGACAAGCAGCAAGTTCTGGGCACAAGTCTTTGCTTCCCCCTCTTACAGCTCTTGCTTTGGAATTTTATTTGAAGAAAGAACGCAGCAGAAAAGATTCCAGGGAATCATTTGTGGTGAAGTGAATCATTTGTGCTGGAAGTTAGACAATGAGAGCTGACCAGTGAAATCCGTCCCAAGCCATCACCAGGGGACTGGTTATTCAGCTGCCTGACAAGAGTGACCTTCTAATGACAACTGGGGAAAAGAAAAAACCTGTGTTCAACAGAGTTCCAGGCTGGATGAGGCTCTGAGCAACCTGGTCTAGTGGAAGGTGTCCCTGCTGATGGCAGGGGGGTTGGGACTGGATGAGCTTTAAGGTTCCTTCCAACCCAAACCAGTCTGGGATTCTGTGATTCTGTGAGTTGGAGAATTTTAAGCTCCTCAGCAAAACATGCAGGTCAGTGAACACAGAAGTGTCCAGATCAGCCCCACAGCAGAGACAGACAAAGCGATCTATAACACAAGTACAATTTAATTGTAACAGTCTCTGATGCTTCCTGAATACCAGGGGAGGAGATCAGCTACCGGGACCCTGTAACCTGACTGGGGTGGTCGTGCCCACCACCCCACCAAGGAGGACCAAGCACAGTGGCACGCGGCACTTTCCATTGGGACACTACTACTTTCACTACCAAATACACAGGTTTCCTGTGCTGCTGCCCTCTGCTGCACATTTTAAAGTGAAAAATTCAAAACTTTACCTTTAAAGGCTGGTATCTAGTACATGTATCACACCCTTTGCATGTTAGATGCGTAGGTCCTCCCACCTCAGATTGCTAACTGAATTGGTCAGAAGAGCCAAGAAACCCTGACATCTACCTCTGACACTCTCAGTT